TCTGGCTGCACCTATATGATGATACGAGGTAATCACAGGTGTGTTCTGTGCACTGCTTTTGATTTTTCCAGGGAATGTCACGGCAGACACCCAGTTTGGTATCAGTCAGATATTTATTTTAATGAAAATTTTCCAGATTATGAACTAGAATGTGTTACTATTAATTTGTGAAGTGAAAATCAATGATACTGGTTTTCTATCACAGAAACTGTTCAATATGCAGGATGTGCGTTATATAGGCCATATTGTTGGCTTGAATATTGAATATTATACAAGTAACTTGTCACTCTGAAATCAGTTTCAGAGCCTTCATTCATTATTTTGTCTCCATAAATATAATGAGAGGACAACATTCTCCCATGCCAATTCATGGAATAATCAAGCACGACGCGAGAGCCAAATAATTTGATGAAGGACAGTCTCAGACAAAATGACTGAGGGGCAACAAAAAGAGCATTGTCCATGTTGTTGAGGACAGGCTTCAAAACAAGAGGCTAAACACAATGCTCTGACCTCTGAGGTTAAGCACACAAAGAAAGGAGATTTTAGATTGGCCGCCGTCATATGACCGGCCTCTGAACTCCCACCATAAAAATCATGTGTCAAAGTGTCATGTCATATAAGTGAGATGAACCCATCAGAACAGCTATCCTTTCATTGACACGTTTGAAAGCTCAGAGCACGACAGGAGGTTTATGAGAAACCAAACTGACAGTTGTGGTTACATTCACCAGAGCAGAGAAATATTCCTCATTGAAGGGAGGAAGGTCATAAAGAATAATGTATATGCTGAATGTAGAACTCTATTTGGATTGTTCCAGCCATTGCCATTAATTAAAAAAAAACAAAAACCTTTTGATTTATGCAGGTTTTGCAGGTATTATAGACTCTTCCCCTTTTGTTGCATTTATGCTTAATGTTGCATTAAAGTTTGTGTTAAATATCAGAGGGATTTTCCATCATGGATTTCTCCTCTCTAGGGCGGTAATAAGTGGAACTTGGACCCGACAATATAACAAAATGTACATCTTCATTACCTCACATAGCATTGTAAAATGATTTGGGACACAGACATTTTGTTAATGATCATCTCACACAGCCCAGGTTAAAAAAACAATCACTGAAGTACACTTAGTTTAATTATACTTCCATGAGCACATAATTAATGAACTATGTGCTATTTTTACTGTACTAAAAATGTACTCAGTACACTAATGTTATATCATTAGCGCTACTAAAGACATACTTAAATACATCTATGTGTACTTGACTGTGCTGCTGTTTTGAGGCACCAGTAAGGTGCACTTAAATAGACATGAGAACTACTTCTTTAATTATTTTTTTTACAAAGGCTGTACTCCACCATTCAGATAACTATTAATACAATTCCAATTGATATAAAACATATGCAATCAAAATGTGTGGATAATACATTTAGATTAAAATGTATTACCATTTGGAATGACTTTCAAGTTCACCTAAAACATAAATGAAATACACTTATAAAGTGTATTGAAAAATTACTTATTAGTTAAAAAAGTTATATTGAAGTATATGTAAATGTATCTTAATGGTGTCTCAAAATATTAAGCGTTTAGAGACCTGGAACATCTATAAAAACACAAAGAGGTGGATCAAAACAAGGTGACAAATACACTACCATCAAATAAACCTTTATGCTTTGTTGAGTTTATTTCAAATGGACCTGCAATCGCATTTGTATATTGCCTCTCTAGTCTACAAAGACCCTGGTGATACAACATAACTGTTTACTTAAGTGGGCCAGGCACTGGCTTGGCTTGAAGGGAGTGAAAACACAATGCCGTTGATTTACAGTGATCACAGGGTTACACTGTAGGTTCTTGAGTCATCACCGCCGGTACCTTGAGTCATCACTGCCGGTATTACTGCGAGTTCAGTGAAGGTCACTGTGGCTGTAACTACAGAATGATGATCCTTGTGACTTTGAAATGTCCAGTATTGTCTTATGGTATTACCAATCCTGGTAGTTCCTGGTAAAACAAGGATTTTAAAGGGGTCCAGGAGTATTTAACAAATTGAGACACAAGCACATAAAGAAAAGTCATTATATAACAGCAAATATGTTGCTGATATTCAGCAATTACACCGTCTGTCTTTGCACTGGCACACAGTTCTATAAATGCAAAAGAATCATGAATTTTACTTCATAACCTCAATTTGTATGATTGCAGGTGACTTAACCCAGGCTTAACCCAGGCATCACAATGCATACACATGCCTCGAGCCATCTTTCAAAGCCTTCAAAATCTCCTCATCTAATTCCACCAAAACCTTCTCTGGTTGGGTGCAAAGCGTTGTCCTAATTACCCTATCAAGCAAATAAGGCACACACTCCTAAAACACACAATTCAAATGATTAGGAAGTAATTGGTTGTGTTTGTTTTTATATATTTGCTTTGATTAAAAAAATTCCTGTGTGGCATTAACTTAGTAGTACCATTCATGTTTTATAAGTAGGGCTGGACATAAATATTCAACTCGTTATTTGGATAAGATTTGGGGTTTCAATTGTGGTGTTCAGATTTCAGATTTTCAGTTTTTTTTACACTAAAATACCACTATATGTATTTGCAATTTAATGTACTTTTTGCAATAAACATACAATAAAGTACACTGAAATACCCTTTGAAGTATTGCAGAGTAAGTATGTATTTTTAGTACACTGATGTTGAACTATATTACATCCATTTTGAAGTACACACTGTTTAAGTACATGTTAAATAAGCTTTAAATTAAGTACAAAAAGTACAATTATACTTGTAATAACTTTCATATACTTTATGATACTGAATTATATTTCTTATAAACTAAAGTATACTACATTTTGCCCTGTGGGAAGACACTATTGGGAATACTCAACGCGAGGATATGTTGACCCGGTGCTCAAACTAATAATCACTTGTGTCTACTTAAATGACCTTGGCTGGATTGCCCTCAGAACGCAGGGCTTCTGTTGAGAAATGTTCAGATGTAGAGTTTGAAGTCCCCTGATGGTTGTTCAATGATTAGCCCACGGTGTGGGGACCATCAAATACGCATTAGCCATAAAACGGGATGTGATAGGAGACGCGTGCGTCGATGGGGAAAGGACATTCTTGTGACACAGCCAAACAGGAAATCACGATGGCCACATCTTGTCAAATGATGCTTTTTTTTTTAATGAAGAATCTAAAGTGCTTCATGTGCAAATACTTGATCCACATTGTCCTGTTGTTTCACTACAGAGACATATTTGGGACTGTCACCATAAACCTTGAATAGAATAATACAGTATGTGATACATTATATATGATCTAAATATACATTACCATCCATAACGTAAATAAGGACGGTACATTGAACTTTGCAAATAAAAAAATCTTTGAGATGAAAACTGGATGAAAAATAATCTTTATATTATATCCATTGGTTTAAAATACATATGATAAAAACGGCTGTGAACAAGAATATAACAATATTTAAAGCATATCTGTAAATCATATATTCTTAATAAATGTGCCGACCCACTGACTTGGCCCTGCAGCTGCTGCTCCAGTTATTTCAACTGCATCGTTTTAATCTTCTGGACCATTAAGCAGGACGTTCCTGCGTATACTGAAGTCTAGTGTTAGTGCATACAAATTAATAAAATACAATTTCAGAGGAAAAGCATCAAAGAGTTTGCTGCCTAGTGGTTCTCCATTTCACTACTTATCAGAGCTGGTCCAAACGAACGTGCAGGAATGATACAAGCAGTGAAACTTATCTGTAAATTATTCAATAGCTTATGCATGCATGAATTGTGCAGGTCACTCCTACAATCACATGGCAACCTTAAAGTACAATCAAATGCATTAAGATTTGTTGATTGACCAAAGTAATCGACTTTTAATGGTGTTCTTTATCTCGGAGAATTGTTCATGCTGAGGGCCTTATTGTGACCACTGTTACAATGCACTTTTCCTGTGTTTAGCATATCTTGATGATTTTCTCTTGTGATGGCCACATCATATGTGTTAATCTCGGCACCAGCGATGTAGGCAGTGACCCTGTTCTACCTCTGCAACTTGCCTCACGTCGTCAGAAAATTACACTTACAAAAATGTATTTACACAACTTGTACTTTTGTAGCTGCCATTGTAATTGTGATTTACTGCACACGCTTCCTGACCTCTTGGCACACACGCTGCTAAATTATGTGACAAAGCATGGAGGACAAGTCTTAAATCATGACAATTCCTGCCAAACACAGGAAGTCTGTACTGGCAAAAGGAACAGCAGTCTCAAGTCGACCCAGACAAACACTGAGCAGGATATTCGCTTCACAACACTGCAAAAGCGTGACAAATGATTCAACAAAATAATATTTGTATTTTCATCCACCCTCTATTTAAATGAAACCCCTTGTCCCCTACAATGCTCATTTTAGCTGAAGCGGTAACCCTTTCCTTTAAGGGTACCACATACATTTATCTCCTGAAATTCTCATTTCTGGAGACTTTTTGCTGAATGTCTACAGTTGCTCTTGTCAGATTGCTGTAAAATGAAACCACAGATTTAGAACTACATATATGATTCACTTACAGCTATAAAGTGCACGAGCCCAACTGACAGAACTTTTAACACCACTCCATTGATTATCAATCTCACAACCAGCTGAAGCTTTATCCTGCAGTCACTTTTAGTTTCAAAAAGACAATCAACACTTTCAGCTAAATGTAAATAGTTCAACTGAAATGTTTGTCCAAAGAAAGTCGAAAACAGACAAAGGTGACCCTCTTGGCAAAGGATCCTCTATGCCAGCAACACCTTCAGCTCCTGAGTTACTTTCTACCCTGGTCAGTGCATCCAATCAGCAAAATGTTTTGTGAAATGTCCCGTTTTGAACCCCAAGGCCACCATACAGAGGGGGGAAAAAAAAAGCACTGCACAAGATTTCAGGTCACACATTTGAGCATTAGAGAAAAGATGAAACTCCTGATGTTGAAAAAGTATTTTATTTGATTCAAAAATCAGCAGTATAAAGTAATCATTTTCACACAAGAATCTCCTTTGACCACTCTCAAACATCCTCTAGAAGGGGCTCACAAATTCCATTTTCCTGTGTTGAGCCACAGCAGAACAGCACTCTTGCTTTTTCCCTGAATGGTTCATCTCTGGGTGCCAGCAGATAATTGTACAGAAGCGCCGCCACCACACCGGCACTCATTGGTCCGGCCCAGTATACCTAAAAAAACAAAAAAACAAAACAGGACAGACTCATTCGTATTTCAAATGGTTCACAAAACTTGTATTAACACAATTTGCAGCTTTTCAATACATACCCAATGATCATTAAATGACTCCTGTATAACTGCAGGTCCAAAGGTTCGAGCTGGGTTAATTCCGCATCCTGTGAAGCTGATCTGTAAACAGAGGAAAACATAACTTCCCTCTCTGGCTACAACATTGGTAACTTACACATGTGCCTGATTTCATCCTATGCCAATCCATTTCATCAGTCCACAGCAAGAAAGAAACATTTACCAAATGAATGAGGATATCAATGTTTTGATACGCTCACCCCAGCAAGGTGTCCCAGCACTACAGACAATCCGATGGCCAGAGGTGCAAATCCACCGACATCACGTCTCTTGTCACTGACTGCAAGCACACACAGGACCAACTGAAGGGTGAGCAGGAATTCCACACCAAGACCTTGACCTGGGCTGATTCCATTTAGCTGCAATACAGGAGAAAACACTTCAGTTTACGCTCTGCCTCTTTGGTTAACCATTATTAGGGAATTATTTTTGCCTCCATTTCAGCAGCTCTTGCATCACGGAAAAGATATAAACCTAAAATGGAAGTAAGCATGCAAACAAACAATTGGACCATGCCTTAGTTGCCTGACTGAGTCGGTCCTTACATTACTGCAGAAGATGGCACAAGCCTTTTATCCTATAAACACTCCCTGGTGAGAGAAGGCCTGCTCAGGTGTAAACCAGGAGCGATTGTTAAAATCGGACATTTAAATTATACAACTTGTCACCAGCAGTTTGAAAATGGGTAAGTCTTAAAACACAAAACTAGACAGTGTCTGGAGTTGACACTTGCTTTTATAAGGAAAACTACATCAGGCTGGAGGCAATTCCCCGAATGCCACTCAATCTGAGAAAAACACGGCATCCATTAAGGAAAGCATTACTCTGGAAGATTGGAAACACATGCATTCCGCCTTACCTTGTTAACACCAAGTGAATGTGTTGTTTCAGGCCTGATACCATACACAATGGCACTGCCAGCCACTGCTCCCAAAATCTGAGCGATCATGTAGAAAAAGGCTCTGAGCAGACTCATCTGGCAACTGGCCAGGAGGCCCAGGGTGACCGCAGGGTTCAGATGGGCACCGCTAATGTGACCTAGACACTGAGCTGATGTGGCAATGGCCAAGCCAAAGGCCAATGCCACTTTAATCTCCTGGTCGGGGAAGGAATTGTTTCGGTCTCCTATCGCAGCCGAGAGGCCGATGAAGATAAAGATGATCATCCCCAGAAACTCAGCCAGAACTGCCCTCCAAAATGCCCACGTTTTAATTTCTGACATGGTTTCCCAGTTAAATAACATCATGCCAAACAACAGATTCTGGCCAGTGTTTCAGTGACACATGTAACTGTGGCCCAAGCAGAGGTTTGGTTCCACCAGCAAGCCAATTGCAAACATCACGAGTGATGTTCACCAACGTTCTTCAAGTGTGAGGCTTTCAAACAATCAGGCCTGATTGGAAGCAGCTGAGACATTTGCATTTCACCAAGTGAGAATGACCAGCTCTGTTCAGCACTTTTCTAATTAAACAGAAGGCTTTTACTGTTATTCTCAATTCATTAAAGACTGCACCAAACTGTTACTTTGAGAGAAGGAGTGTTAACTGAATGTTGAAATTTTATTTTTATAAAAAGGAAAATACTGAGCAAGGTTTTTGTGCTGCATACAAAATAACACATACAGCACTCTGCAAGCTTGTGTGCATAATTCAATCCATGCTGTTCATTTGCATTTTTATTATTATTGCTGTAATGTAAAATTAAGAATAGGCTATCCTCCTTATGATCTAGGATTTTAAAAAGGCATCTTATTGTTATTTGGCTTAACTCCAGGCGAACTGGTGTTAAGGTGTGAACGACGTGTGAAGGACGCTGGTCATTACTTTTTTGCAAGTGTTTGTGAATGGTTTCCCTATCTTTCAATCTGCATATTCTATTCTGAGCTTGTGTCATGCAGGGCCGGCTGCATTGAAGTCAACAGCAGTCATATGCCGCTGTGAAGGAAATGGGACCTTTTGAATTCCCAACAAGGAAACCAGCCTCCCATTCTGCCTTATAATGTGTGGACGGACTGACAGGTTAAAGGGTCACGCTGCTTCTTCTCTTCTTCTCAGTGAAATAAGAAAGAGAAAACCATCAAAGCATTACTTTTGCCTTTGGGCAACTATGCTCCATCCAAGAAAAGGAGCACATCCCCATCTTTTCTTCATAAAAGAACACGTTGCCAAATACCTTTTGATTTCCATAATTCAGTCATTTCCTTTCATTCTTAAATCAAATAAAAAAAACACACCACTGATATATTGCAGGTGTCCCTGACTGTCATATTTGAAGCCTAGATACCTGAGATGAGAGATGATAACATCAATGAGAGGATGAAGGAGTTATTCATTCAGAAGGATGGAAGAGGTGTATCGTAATATACAGCACATAATAAAGTAAACGCCAGAGATAAGTGGAGAATCGACAGGAAGGACAAAGGTTACCCTTTCTAACCGTATGAGCAGGAGCAGCGCTACGGGCCTGCCAACTCTCCTGTCAGACAATATTTCATTTGTGGAAAAAACACCCTTATTCTTTTGGCACATGCGTATCTGATACTACTCTACTGTACATCTCATAAGCCCCACTTCCACCTTGACACTCTTAAAAATAAGGGTTACATATGGGTTCTTCCTGAAGAGCTGGGTTTCCCTTTTTGAAGAAAGGGGTTTTTCAAATAAGAACCATTTTCATCCAAAGAACCATTTTTGGAAAACAGAGCTCTTTCTTGTTGAACGCAGGAGAGTTTGAAGATCCTTCCAGCCCACACACAGGGCATAAATAACATCAGGATGCAGGTTTTCTGAAAAAAACCGTGAGAGGATTTATTATTGTGGACTCTTATGAGAGCTGGACCTCAACCTAACTCAGGGATTATTGAATAAACACAGAGAATTCAAGCGTGCAGAATGGGAAGCAAGTCAAGTATATAATCACTATGTATGCTGGTCTGATAAGCAGAGTAACATGTTTCTTAGAACGTCAAAGGTTTCCCCTCTTTTTATTTGCTTGAAGTAAATGAAAACATAATATAATCATGGTGAATAAAAAGCGTATTTAAAATCGTCTTAATAGTTTGGACTCATCTGTTAATCTCAAGCAGTTATCGAGAGTCCAGGTTCAAAGCTTTAGTTGAGATCCCAGTCCCTGCTGCACGTGTGTCTGTTGGGTGAAAAAGACTCCGGATGTTTTCCCCAAAAAAGTTTGATCACATCTTATTTCCTTGTCACATACTCCTCACTCAGAGTAATATTGCTTTTCTTTAATTTCCTTTTCTTTGCTCTTTGGCATCTGGGAGTAACCAGAACCAGGCTTTCTAATGATATCAGTGTTGTTTTTGTACTGAAAATATTAAGCATCGCACGCCACTTTACACAATGACTGTCACTGGGTTTGGGTTTGTATCTCTGATCTCCGTTCTCTGCTTCTCACCATGCCTATGCAAACGTCAACGTTTTATCGGTCACCTGAATTTGGTGATAAGACATACCTATTCTGAAAGCCAAGACTTCAAACCCAAAAATGACCAAAAAAAGGGATGTTGAGCTAGAGAGGCTATCCATCAATCAGCAGCAACAGCTGGGCCGTGCAAAGAAAACACAATGATATTGGAACGAAAGCAGAGTATCCAGGTCCAAAATTTAAGCCGAGGATTCCTACTGGACTACGTTTTTTTGTGCCTCCCCAACTTAAAATGTCACCAGACAAGAGTTCTCAGTAACAATTTATGCTGATTAGGCATGGATCAGTAATTTGACCATATAAGTTGCCGATGTATTCACAATTACAAATTCAGCTGAAGAGGGTAGAGCGAGTCTAGGGCTGAAGTCTGTTGTTTGTAAACACACGCACGTTGAATCAACCTTTGACACCAGATAACGCTAATAACTCAGATTTAGTGCTTGTCTAATCTTTCCATGAGCATTTAAATACCTATAATCAGTCTGGGTGTGATAGCAGGTTTTGATCCATATTTCATTTTTTTGTGGGTTGACCGTTTCTTTGTTTTGTTACTTCTTCAGCTCTACACAAGATTGCTCATTATCTTTGTTTAATTGTCCCGACATTGAGAAACACAGAAACTGAAACATGTTGGTCTATAAATAATTAATTAGATCATTTGGCTCAAGCTCTTCAGGAATGCAGACCTCTGTATACTGATTTGTTATCATACAAATCCAAGACTGGACTACGGGCAACTCCTCAGGTTCACTGGAAGAGACCCAGCACATGTTTGCCCTGGAGCCCCCTAAAAGATTAATCTGGCAATGGATGAATCTGTATATTTTCATCTGGAAATATTCTGCAAAACACACTAACAATTATAATATACTGTGCTCTAATTACATTTACAATTACTTTTTTTCTGCATTCAATAAGGGTTCTTATGCCTGATTGCTTGGTGCTGATTGCATTGAGAAGAAACAATCTAATCTATAACATCAGATACCAAACATGTATTCATATTTGGTATCTATATATAACAAGAAAGCACATGGAGTACCAGCTGTTAACAACAAGTGTTTTATTTACTTAAAAAAGGGAGAAACTTTTCAAGAGTGCACACATAAAACATTATCCATCAGAAAAAAAAAAAAGTGATATAGACACAAGGGTATACAAAAACATAAAATGGCTCATCATTAGAATACTGATATGGGAAAACATTTCAGCCCGCTGCTCTGTCAAGACTCTCACATCCTCGACGTGTTTCCAGGAGCAGCTTACGTGTGGGGGTCGAACAAAGGAGTGAATTCTACGTCAGAGAGACACTAATTGACCCGTGGCCACAATCCTCATCGGCATTTCAAAACAGCACTATACACTAAATTCAAAAGCTTTTTTTTTTTTTACAGGAGCATGAACATGTACAAAGAAAGTGACTGTGGCTGTATGGGACTATTTCGACGTCATCTCCACAGTTGTGTTGTCGTTTCCTCCGTTGAAGTCATATTCGTCCACTGGGCCGCTGACCAGGACCTTCATGCGCCCAGGGAAGTCATCGAATTTGGGGAACAGCAGGAAATCGTAAATGAGAGCTGCTGCTAAACCACCACACATTGGCCCCACCCAGTACACCTGCAATGGAAAACTCTGGATCAATCTCTGGATTGGCATTGGTTAATCTGTCACGTGCGAACACATCGTTATCACAGGAAGATCATACACATAAGATTCAAGTTCAAAAGGTTTACTTTTGTCGATGTGTCTGCTGTGAAACAACAATAGGAACGCTGTAACTGATTAACTCGTGAGGGAGAATTCCCTGGTAATGGAATCATCCGTCTGTTATGGAGTTGAATTATTGAAGCTTGACATGTAATATGCATGCAGAAAAATGTGAGGCAGGCGTAAAAGAGCTTGTGTTCTTCCGTCTCTGACTTACCCAGTGGTTTGTGAAATTGCTCAGGATCAAAGCCGGGCCAAAGGAGCGAGCGGGATTGATGCCGCAGCCTGTGTAGCTGATCTGTAATGAACAACGAAGAGACAGCATAAGAGGATATCTTCAGCTACATGGTCTGGTGGCATAATGGAGTCAGGGGTGAGGGTTATTAGCTGAAACTAATGCATGAATCTCTTCCACTCCAAGAGCCCCTATCGTATCTATTGCTTGTTTACATTGCTCAAACGCCCTGTGCATAATCCTAGATAATTATTATACTGCATTGGAGACGGTTTTAAGGTGAAACTTACAGCTGCCAAGTGTCCCAGGCAGACCGAGAGGCCAATGGCCAAGGGTGCTGAGCCGGTGACATCACGCCGCCTTTTATCAGTGACTGCAATGACACACAGCACCAGCTGGAAGGTTGCCAGGAGCTCTATGCCTACACCTTGGCTGGGAGTGACACCGTTGAGCTGCAAGAGTTAGAGAGGAATTGAAAACAACAAGGGTTTATCAGTTTGTGTCAGTTTGTGTCAGTTAGATAGTTAGATAGTTTCCTATCGCGACCACTTGTCATTTAGCAGACGCTGGCGTCGCCCCACAATCCTGACAGCAATTTGGCAGAGGCTCCAAAGTGGCACATTGTTTATTTTTTTATAATTTCTAGAAAACCTGATCATTTCTATTCAGAATTATTTAGCTGTGGTACACCATGTATGGGGGCAGTACAGTTTCTCCACAATGATATTATGCCTTGAAACTCACACGTTTTTTGATAAGAAGACAGCTGATGTTACAGATAGGTCAAAGAGAAGTGAAGCATTCCAGCAGGCAAAAAAAAACAACCAACTAATTTACCAAAACAAGTGAGAATAAATGTCAAAGGGTTGACTTCGCATACTTTTATTGCAGATTCTTTCAGCAATTTGCAGTTTGGTGTGCTTCAATCATGTGTCATCACTATTCAATAATAAGCAATGACAGAATGTCCAAAGAACAACACAAACGGTGCCAAATCAAGTACCCACATAGAGTCTAGGTTTTCACTGGGAGGTAAATTTTAGATCGTAAAGGCGCTTTAAATACACACTGCTGCATGACATTTCTTGGTGAGAGTGGGATGTTTTAGAGCTCCTGCTTTTAAATCACACAGTATCACATGTTCTGTCAACAGCAGTAATACCAAACTTTACTTACAGAGTTAAGCCCCAGTGCGTCAGTGGTATTTGGACGTGCCCCATACACAATGCCACTGGCCAGAGCTGAACCCAGCATCTGGGCCACAATGTACATGACCGCCTTGAACACGCTGATCTGGCAGCTGGCAAGCATCCCGAAGGTAACTGCAGGATTCAGGTGGGCTCCACTGATGTGGCCTAAACTCTGGGCCAGCGTGGCGATGGCCAGTCCGAAGGTCAGCGACACCTTCACCTCCTGGTCTGGGCCGGTGTTGTCCGTGTTCCCAATAGCTGCGGAGATACTCAGGTAAATGAAAAGGGTCATGCCGACCAGTTCGGCCAGAACGGCCCTCCAGAAGTCTTTGCTCTTGAACTCTCTCATGGTGGTGGCAGGGTGGCTGTGGGTTCGAGCTCTGTAACGGCTGTGCACTCACAAACAACAGCAGCAGCCTGCATATATATGGCCTGTGCTGATAATGGTCAGTGGGCGGGCTTTAAAAAAAATGAGAGGGCCACACTGAATTAATGAGAAAACCAAAAGACTGGGCTCCCTCTTCCCTCCCTCTGCTCCCTCACCCTCCTTCCTCTTTTGCTTGTCCTTCAGCCCTCTCCGTTACCTCCCTGTATGCCACACTCTGGTCTTTGGACTTTTGTGAGTAATAGAACTGGGTCCTGAAATAGCTTTATCCAAAGATAAAGTTTCCACTCATTCAAGCATTTACAGTTTTTGGAAATTATTTTTGCTTTAAATCCCGATGAATTATGAGCACTTTAAGTTTAATATGCCCTGTGTGCTTCATTTTTTAATTTTGCATAATTGTGTCGTGCGCTCCTGAGGACTTATTCACACCAATCACTGACAGCACATAAGGGAGAGCGAGAGCGAATGCCAGGAAACTCCCAAAGAGTAATTTCAGATCTCATCCGTTTCTCAACAGACAAGGTTTTCATGTTTTTTTACAAGACCACCCAAAACTTTGCACATGCCAACTCTGAGACACACTTTGAGACGAAGAGAGAGAAACAAAATAAAAGTTGAGAGAATAAAAAAAACCATAATGTATTTATTGTCAATAAACATTAAATGCAAGCCTCTTTTCTAGCTTAAATTGGATTTCAGTGGTATTTGTAACTTTTAAAAACAAGCAAAAGAGGACAACTATTGAGACAGATTGTATCAACCTAAACAAACATTTTACAATATGTAGCATGTCACTAAATAAAATTCTGTGGAGTGGGCTGAGTATTAAGTTTTGGAAATGGGAAACGTTTCTGGTAGATGGAGCAACTATAACTAATTAACTGAACGGATGTTTGCTCAATAATTATTTAAAAGAAATTTGGAACAGGGTAAAACATCAACTTTGAGAAATGAGCTGCCTGTTGCACCTGGCCCCCAACTCAAGTGGGTGTGACAAACAAACAGCAGCCAGGCCGCTGCAAAATCTGTCATGGAATTTACTTTGCTACTACTTTGGGTGTTTGCAAGTCTCTTAGTGATGGTTTAACAAGCTCATTTTTTTAGGGGATATGAAATGTCTGATTTAAATCAAGTTAAAGTAATTTAACTGTGTCAGCGAAACACACCATTTCCACTGGTGTTATGCAACTACAAAATTATGAAACCTGAAGGATTTACAGAATATTATAGTTGTGATACATTCTGTCATTGCATCACAGGGTGGCTAAATAACTCTTTTTATGCAGAATCAAAGGCAGATGAAGGAGAGAGTTTTGTCCTTAAACAAATGTATGACCTTTTAATTATTAACTGTACCAGCTTGTACTCTTACCAGGTCAATGGGCTCAAACTTGGCACGTCGCTGAACAGTGACAGTAGCAGAGCAAAAAACGCAAAACCATTGCTATGGATATCTTGCCCTGCCATTGCACTGGAAACCACAATGACCACAAGTACTTAGCTCAGTACTGCATCATGAATAACTGTCAGCGTCTGTCAGTGTATATTGTGACATTATTTTCTTCGGTAAAAGGAATTAAATCTTCAGATATATGTGATTGACGTCTTTACTTTGTAACATTTGTCAGGTCCACCAGCTCAATAACTGCATATTATCTTATGTTTAAGAGCATTGGGGCAAAGGGTTGTATGGCTAGAGATATCTGTTTTGTCTTCCATATTATATCACGTCAAATTTTTGACCGAGACACACCTAAAACAGTTGTTTTCTTTCTGTACTGTACTTCGCTGCCCAGGAACAGGATGTAGATAAGAACTATTTGTTACCAAGGATTGCTGACATATCCTCTTTAGTCCTGTCCATAATACATTTTTAAGATGCACTGCATGCACACTTGGTTATTCTAAAGGGGCCATTTTACATTTCAAGTTACGTTTGGTAGCTGTTTACTTTTGTCAGTGTAAGACGGAGATGTAAAAAATACTCCATTGCTTGTAAAAGTCTCACATTCAAAATTAGTATAAGTTAAGAGAAAGCACTGAATTATTATTAGCTAAACCAATTTAAAGTATCATAAGTAAAAATACTCTTTATGAAGCAAAACAAACCCGGATTTGTTTGATAATTGAGATAATGTCCGGAAGGATGTGTGGTAGCCAACATGAAGCATTTTATTAGTGCAACAAAATAGGAAAAGGAAAATCATCTTTCCTCCTCTTTTAGCCAAGATGCAAAAATATACAAAGAAACTGAAAAAAACTGTTTTGCCTCCATATTATTGTTTGGCCTTACTTAATCAAAAGAGTGTAAGAAGGTAGATTACAATAATTTAAAGATTGACAAATAATCCAGGTGTTTGGTTATGGATACCGTGCTAATAAGTGACGACTGATGCACTAAGGAGCTACTGCCTCTCATCTGTTACTCAACGCTCAAACGTTTTCTTCTTAAAGTGAAATCCTGAACTTAAGAGATCGATGTGAACATTTCTGAAACCAGCCCTCAAGCTAGATTTGTTGGTGCACATGTTGTTCCAAGTCTGCTCTGACGCAATTGTACTACATGTTCTAGACTCCATAACCGGATCTAGTGTACAAAAGTGTTACTGGAGCAAAAAGTTCCAGAGACAGGTGTGGCCCGAGGACTACGTTGAGAGTTTTTGATGGAATCACTGAATCAATTGTATGTATGCTGGAGTGGTGAACGTTTGGCATGTTTACGGCTGGATGCATGCAGTGCACACACAAAAAGAGATGGGATTTGGAGCCATACAGTATATTGTCATGTTGTCAATCAAACCAACTCCTCTCTCAAACACTTTAAAAGCAGTGTGCTCCAGCGAGCTGCCAGTAGAGAAGGGCCGCATGTAATGACTTACTAATATTAAAAAAGCAAACTTGATGGCCTTTCCTTTTCAGCCTTTCCTTAGACAATGCTGGAAGAAATCGAAATAAAACAGAAATACCACATAAAAGCTGTTATGATACTAAGGAAGGTGTCAAACTTTGCTGAACTTTGAACATCAGTTATGGTAAGTGATTGCACAAATATTTCACAGTTTACCACATGGTTGCTATCTCATCAGACTACTCCAGCTTATATCTTCTCTAAACCATATCTTGTCACTTGTGAGCTGTTCAGACCACAAGTAGAGGAATGTGCAGAATGCTTAAAAACACCCAACGTATAAACACACTGAGCAGCCCCGTGCGAGTAATTCATGTAAGAGTTGAAGTAAATGTTGTGAAAGCCTTCAACATTTCCAGCGAATGGAACTGATGACTATAACAGCAGCAGAAAGTACATGTCAAGGGGAGGAGAAGGTCACGGTGGGCTTGATAATTACATGACTTTGTCAGGTATTTAGGTTCAAAAAGTGACACATACCATGAGCAGAGGTTGCTGCTGTTACGCTACAATAATCCAACCATGCATGCAGATTGTACACACAGCCATAAATAATAGTACAGACTACAATAAAAGTCTGCAGATTGATTAAAGAGTAGTGACGTACTGCTGAGTGAAACCCAGTTTTCCAGAACATTGCTGTTCGTTTCAATATTACAACATTCGAATATGCAGCCAACAGCTGAGATTTGCTGTTGGGTGGATGTGAGAGGATCCCCTCTTTGATGAGACAAAACAATAATTCATGCAAGACAACACCAGTTGATTTCCAGTTTCTATCTGCATTAGTAAAATATCAATATTCTTGCACTAAAAGAAAAGCAGAAAGCAAAAACGAAAGATAAAAATGGGCTGAATCCACCGTCGTGATTGAAAGCAGGACATGATGGACGACTTGTGGTTTGGGAAATGCCATTCCAAATATTAGATCTGCTTTCAAGCCATGTTTTATTGTTGTAATTGTCAGGCCACAATAAATAACAAAAGTAATTTAGTAAAAGCTTGACAAGACGGTTTGGACAGCTCGGTTTGGCTCACTTTATCTTTCAGACGCCAGTCTCCTCATCCTGCCACACCGTTTCTCCCAAAGCAATACAAAGTGGAGCAATGAGCTTAAAATAGGGAAGATAGAATCAAACAACACACATTGGTTGGTGGTTGAACAAACCGACTGATGGGTTCGAGGTTGAGGAGCATGGACAACGCAGAAGCCCGGTGGCCCACAAAACCGCCTGTCGCAGTCAGGAACTCATTTTACTAATTGCTCAAACTTATCTAATTACAGTTTGGGTCACATGGTATTTTGTGTCCAAAGGAAACAATCTTCAAAACAAATACTGCACATTTTTGCTTGCATCATATCCTAATGCATGATTCAACTTTTTGTTAAGGCTACAATAAAAAAAAAAGAAAAGAGAAATCGTTTGGTGGAGGAGGTTGATAAATTGTCCCTCCACAGATGTTTTAATCAAGAGAGGTCATTCTTTACAATGGCCTCCCGCTGACAAGGAGAGGAATGAAGCTGCAAGCGGTGTGAAAGCGGACAGAAACAAAAGAGACAATTTAAATGATTTGCCAGGGCTCCGATTCCTCACCATGTGTTTGACTGTCAGGATGCGTTGCCCAGAAAACACCCAAATACACAATCTCACACGCCTGCACACACTCTGAATTCATCACTAGTGAACAGCTTCTTAGCAGATCACAATCATGAGACTGCTGGTAAAGCAAGTGCGGGTCAGTGCGCTGGTGAGCCGCCCCACACTGGATTATACAACCAACCTGAACCATCTCAAACTAAAGATGAATTAGCCTGCTATCCTCTCATTATTGTTTGAACAGAAAAGGAAACGTAAACATAAATTCTTGCAGATTCTCAGACATGTCTCATTCATGGGCTGTTCTTAAGGTCTTAACTTTGTTTACCCTGTGACTGATCAGTTCTTCTCATCAATACCAATGTGGTGTAACAACCCTTCGTCCAGATATTGTTAGAAAAGACAAGTGAATTATGACATCCCAGAAATTCCCTGCTGCCTCTGCGTCATTTTTATTTGTTTATGAAATATCCAAGGTGTAATGTTTGCTGTGGTTGCTCAGGATAGGACGCATTAGCAG